TGTTCCCGTGAAGCGTTGTCCATGCATCGACCAGCTTCAGCTCTCTACATATTTTCTGCAACTCTTTTGAATGGTATTTGCTTTGTTTTTGACAAGGGCCTCGGATGTCTCGAATTGAATCAAAAACACAGTTGAAATCACCTAACAACACGCACGGTGCTGAATTTAGCAGGAATGACCTGGCACCTCTAAAGAAGTCATTGGCAAGAGACCTATTCAATGGCGCGTAAAATTGGTGAATCGGATTTTCTGGTAGTTTCTCCAAATGTCCACCGCAATAACACGGCCTTCTGCATCGAAGAGGCAATGCGCACCCCATCTGAACCTCGCATTGAGAAACGACACCGGTGCCACGCGACTGCGTCTGCGTTAGGGAGAAGAAGGTTTCAACCGAAAATCTAGTACGGAAGGTCATGATTTTGTGCCGCGTTCGAAAGTTGGTCTCTTGCAGAAAAGCACGTCGACCCCGAGCGAGCGCACAAGGTTCATTATTTCCCGTTGTTTTACAAGATCTTTGAAACCACGAACATTGAAAGTCATGAAAGATGGCCTATCAATTTAAATTAAATTTAGGGGGAAACGAAACAATCATTTTTTTCCTTTTTTTAACAACGATGCCTAAGGGGACGGCATGGCCTCTCCTGTCTCAAGCGGCAGTGGATGAAGTCAACGTCATGATACTCGAAGGACGGGCGCTGAGATTTACTCACGTGCACAGACAAAACGAACCCAGTGAGCAACACCAATACCAATAATAACAGAAATAGTACACGCAGCATGCAACGTAACTCACATGATGCAATTACTATAACAGGGCATAGCCACCACAGCATAGAACTCACAAAGTGGCACATGAAGGTTCTATCGTGAATGACAGTAACATATGGAATACTAAACAGTTTGCATGCATCAGAGACAACAAATGCATAAAAGTTGTACGGGTGGGAAGCAAGCATTGCAACGGTATACACAACAGGAAGCGGAAAGAATGGATGTGGGCAGCACAAATTAAAAAAACATTGAGTGCTCACCCACATTGGATTGGATTGGATAAACTTTTATTTGGTCCTCCAAAACACAGATCACTGTGTTGCGGGGCAGCTCCCACGTGGGGACTGAGATGCCAAGCTCCTCAGCCGCCTCGCGGGCTTGGTGACAGCTCACCCACATCAGGTGATGGATCTCGATTTGGCGAATCCACTCGGGGCTTTTGGATGTTCCGGAGGTGGGGACATCACTTCCACTGCTTGAACTACCAGGCTTGGTGCGACGCTGAGTGTTTGTGGCTCTAGAAAACTTGTAGGGAGAAACGCGTATTTTCAGGAGACAAAGATACCGATCATGAGGCTTGCGAAAATCTGTCACTCCTTAATTTCGTGATGGGACCAGCTCCTACGATGTCTGGATGTCTTGTCTGACGCTTCTTTTTGGGCCTGTAGAGCGTGGGGGCGAGGCGTGTTAGGTTTCCTTGACGTGGTCTTTACTTTCGTGGGCGTCGTCTTCATGCTACCTTCCAGGCCCACAGGTGGCCGTCCATGGAGCTCGTCACTTGCACTTGTTGCCTCGGAACGTCGGAGCGATTTTCCCGGTTGGTCAGCGCTCCAAGATGCTTGGGACGCTTCCCCCAGCGGTGATGCGTTCGAGGATTGTTCGTTTTCTGTGGCCTTGAGTTCCTCTGATGAAGACGTAGCAGACGCCCTCGGCGTCTCCACAGCATTGCTGGGCTCCTCTGACAACGTTGTGGGAGATGACAACGCTGTGGTGTCCCCAGTCAGTGCAGAAATGTCGTTGCCACTCGTTGTGCATGGCGACGCGGCATCAACGCCGCTGGCGTCTTCTGTCTTGGCGTCATAAAATTTGTGTCGGTTGCGCTGTCCTCATCCCAATAATGTGGAATCTTCTGTGGTCGTGGCTTGGTTTTGCGTTGCAAAACTTCCATGTGTCCTGGAGGTTCCAATTAGGGTTGTTCTCTTCGAAGCACTCTTCCAAGTTCTGGGAATTGTTTCAGTGCCTGTGAGGTGCTCTGCGCTGCTTCTGCGTATGACTTGGCACGGAAGCAATCTTTCGTCGCATGGTCCCCATTACAGCGCTTACACTTGGGACAGACAATCCTCAGATGTATGGCCGAAGGTGCCACGTCGTTGACAGAAGGGTGTTGTGCAAGTAGTCGCAACATGACCTTCTCTGCTGCAGCGTGCGCATACTCTGCGCATACCACGATACTCGAGCATCACGCGGTGACCTTGAATTGATAGGAAGTTAGGGGCGGGCCTTGGCCATTTCGATTCGGACCATGCGGGGTACCAGTGTACGTTGATTGATGCCTTTGCAAGGTAACAAATGTGATGCCCTTCACTTTTCCGTATCGCTGAAGAGCTGAAATAACTGCGCCATCTGACACGTACGGCGGGAGGCGGAACACACTGACTTGTACGCTTGGCGCCTCGACTGCTTCAACTTGTACCTTTTGACCATGTAACTTGAATCCTTCGTTTACCATCAACTTGGTTGCTTGTGCAGCCGACCGAGCCGCAACTAGGAACTTGGAAGCTCTGAGGTGTTGCAGGAACAGCACCCCTTCACTCCCCATGACGTTTTCGAGGCCATCGATGATCTCGTCGACGGACGCCGTCTCCTCCGGGACGGTGAAATTGAAGCAGTGCTCCTTGAGCGGGAGCACCGCACGCCTTAACGCCATCCTCGCTGGTCCCGGCAGGGACCGACGACGATGGGATCAGGCCACAAAAAAAAAAAAACTGGTTGGCAAAGTCGCGAGTGCACACCCTGGCAGCAACGCCGCTGGAGTGCTGACCGCGTTGAAGACTGGAACGCCGAAGCTCCTTATAGTGGCACCCGTTCGTCCATCGCAGTAGTAGTAGTAGTCGTAGTGTGTGACCAGTCTTACATTTTGACCTCCAAGGTGGTGCCGGTGGGAGATTTATTCTGTGCGCTGTTGAACAACAAAAAATCGCAGCGTGCGCGTTAACTAAAAGCCGAATTCTCCTGTCTCTCATTCCTCCTTATCAGCCATTGGGATGTACATTGAGCACTATCTGACAAGAAAGGGTTGCTACGTTATACTCGCTGGGCGTAACCTCCTTGGTTTTAGAAAGGTTTAGCGAGCGTTGAGCCGCAGTGCATGAATGCAGTGACTAGTATATACCATGAACTCGAGGTGGTTAAAGGTGGGAAGTAGACACGAAGGCCAAGCCATAAGAAAGTGTCCGTGTGCCTCCTCTCATTCAGTTTTCGGAATGTGCGCTTGGTGGCGGTGCTTCTATATGACGAATATATGATGACAAGATGCGAGATGGTGCTACATGAGTATTGAATAGGTGGACGAACGGACATACAGACAGATGCACGGACAGATGAACGCATGGACGGACGCAGGAGCGGATGTGTGGACGAACGCAGGGACGGACGCACAGATGGACGTGTGGATGCACGAACAGACGCACGTACGGACGGGCGGATGGACGCACGGGCGGCCACACAGACGTACGCATGAACGGACGGAAGCGAGAACGAATGGACGGACGGAAGCTTCGCCCCACTCTCTATCTTTCACTTCGTGGATATGCTGCCAATTTTTACGCCGTAGGTCGTTACCTAGTAGTAGTAGTAGTAGTAGTAGTAGTAGTAGTAGTAGTAGTAGTAGTAGTAGTAGTAGTAGTAGTAGTAGTAGTAGTAGATTGTAGCCACTTCTAGTTTATGCGTTGCTCTATAGATAGCGTGGTGTGTATATGTCCTTGCGAATAATACCACTAGATGGCGTTAGTAGATTTCACAGCATATTTATGGAGTCAATGAAGACAGGGGCGAAGCGTACGTCCATGCATCCGTCCGTTCGAAGGAGACAGAGACAGACAGACATATGGACAGACGGATGGATGATTCACGGTTTTACTGACAAATCCCTGCGACGCTTCGCCCCATTTATCATGATTCACTCCGTGGATATGCTGTGATTTTTATTTCTTTGAAATCACGTCTCTGTTCATTTTGGCGGGATTGGGAACTCCTGGTCGTTTATAGATTTCAGCGGCGAGCCTCCATCCATCGCTGTGTCGTCTTCCGTGTCTGTGCCACTCTTAGCCGACGATGTCCCGTCTCGCTGCCGTCAGTTCGTACCCTGGGCTTCCTCTTCATCCGTCTTCTGTTACCAGTCCTTCGTCCTAGCATTCCGTATCCAGTAGGAAGAGGAGAAGCCGCTATCCTGGCCGCGGCACTGTGTCGAACGAGACGAGACAAGTGTAGACGTGACTAAAAAAGAATACACCTGCGTAAAAGGGCGTCGAGTAGTGTGCATGGTTGTGCTTTACGTCAGCTGCTGCCTTTTTAGATATTTCCGGTGAAAACTTTAGATATTTTTAGATAATTTTTAGATATTTACGGTGCTCAGTGCTGATGAATTTTACGCCAACGAATGCATAAAGACAAGAGGATCCTAGAAATATAAACGTTTCTTCAGTAGGTGGCATTTTCTGTATCGTGTGTGGTCGTTGGGCCATCCTGACAGTCCGAGCGTAACGGGAAGAATTCCCCAAGTTTATTGTGCCATGCTATATATACAGGTGGAACGGGCGAGGGCAAGCCAAAGATATCTTGACTGATCGCCACGTGTTGTACATGCAGTAGCGATATCATCCGATACATCCTCTTTCGTATGAGTAAACAAAACAGAACAGTTAAATATTTTTCTAACGGGGAGTTACAGGGTTGAACAGTGCACAGAAGAAACATCGTTCATTGCACGCCACTGGGAAGCTCATCACGACACTTGCACAAAGTTTCTGTCGTAGGTCAACCGCTGTGGTGGCCGTCGCAGTCTTGTCGAACTTCTTGAAGTTACGATGCCTGCCGTATTGGGTGCATGGAGAGCTGCGGGCCCACTACTGCAATTTGCAGTTTGTTCGGCGAAGTCCTCACTGCTGCTGGAACACGTGCGCCTTCGAAAGCTTTCACCGGTCGGAAGTAGGTGCTGGCGGGTTGCGGCGGAGGACCCTTCCTTCCTCTGTGACGACATGGTATGACCTGGGAGTATTGCATGGCTCGAGGACTCGTGCTTTGGTCGACCATGACCCCCCTTTAACTCGAACGGTGTCGCCTGCTCCCAGCGGCGCTAGGGTCCTCCTGCAGGCGTTGCTCTGGCGATGCTTTCGGACCGGAAATTCTGGAACGGAACGGACATCCGGCAGCGTCGTTCGCAGTCGCCTTCCTTGTAACACCTCGGCAGGTGAAGGCGCACCCTCCATCGGTGTCGTCCTGTAAGCGAGTAATCCAAGCCAAAAGTCTTGTTTCGCGTCAGTAGTTTTCTTTAGTATTCTCTTAACGACCTGTACTCCTTTTTCTGCGAGGCCATTTGATTGTGGATACCTCGGGCTTGAAGTGACGTGTTTGAAATCGTACAGCTGAGAAAATGCAGCGAAGTCATGACTTGTGAACTGCGGCCCATTATCGGTACAAAGTTCAACTGGTATGCCATATCTGGCGAAGATGGCACTTGCTGCTTCTATGACAGTTCTCGAAGATGTGTCTTTGAGCAACTCCACCTCGGGAAAGTTGGAGAGCGCGTCATAAACACACAAGTATGTTCTACCGCCATATTCGAAAAGGTCCGCCCCTACACGGTACCAAGGCTGGGGTGGCGCCGGGCGCATCTTAAGAGGCTCTGTCGGCTGTTTGTATGCGTATTTTCTGCATGGTGCACATTTATGGCAGATCGATTCGATATCTTGATTTATTCCAGGCCAAAAAACAAGCTGTCTTGCCCTTGATTTACATTTGTTGACACCTAAGTGACCTTGGTGAATGCGATCTAGCATTTCACGTCTCATAGAAGCCGGTATTACCACCTTACAGCCTTTCAAAAGTACACCGTTAACTTGAGATAGTTCTGCTTGAAATGGCCTCCATTGGCCCTTGATATCCTCTCCAGATTCTAGGTTTTTCAGAACGTCTTTAAGCTCTTCGTCCTTCTCTGTTTCTGCTGACAACCACTTCCATGTTCGGTCGCTCACTAATGAAGACATCACACTTACCGCGTGGACTTCTACATCGTCGCTGTCGGTGTCACCCGCTTGCCTGCTTGTGGCTCTCGAGAGCATGTCGGCCAGGACGAGCTGCTTCCCTGGAATGAATTGCAAGTCAAGGTCATAACGCAGCAAACGGAGGAAGAAACGCTGTAGCCTTGGCGGCATATCGCCTATTGGTTTCCGAGCAATGGTAATCAAGGGCCGATGATCGGTCTCTGCAATGACATTGCGGCCGTAGATAAAGTGATGAAATCTTTCGCAGCCGTACAGCAATGCTAACGTCTCTTTTTCAATTTGTGAATACCGTTGCTCAGTTTCGCTGAGCGCTCGTGACGCGTACGCGACCGGCTTCCACGCGTTATTGTGGTATTGCAGCAAAGCTGATCCAACCCCATTCCGTGATGCGTCGCACGACACTTTGGTTTTTCTCTGAGGATCAAAGATAGATAGCAAAGGTTCTTTGCTCAAACTGTCGCATAGCTGCTTCCATTCCTGATTGTGGTTATCTGTCCATTCGAAGATTCGGTCCTTTTTGATCAGGCCCCTCAGTAGTGTGGTTCTTTCAGCGAGTGACGGCAAGAATTTGCTGAAGTAGTTGGCAACGCCCAGCGTTCGTTGCACCGCAAGCTTGTCAACTGGTGTAGGAATTTGTAGCATGCAATTTATCAAGGATGGGCTTGGTCTGATGCCGTTTTTGTCAATCACGTCCCCGAGAAATTCTGTCTTTTCGACCGCAAACGTGCACTTTTCTGGGTTGAATGTAAGGCCGGCGCGTTCAGCTGCTCGTAGCACCGACTTAAGACGCTCATTATGTTCTTCTATGGATGCACCCCAGATAAGGACGTCGTCCACGTACACTCTGACCCCAGGAAGTTCTTCAAAAATTTCATTCAGGGTCCTCTGGAAGACCTCTGAAGCCGATGCTATACCAAAGGGTAAGCGCAAAAACCGGTAGCGGCCGAATGGTGTTGCGAAGGTGCAAATTCGGGAGGTTTCGTCATCTAAAGGGATCTGGTGAAACACCCGAGTTTGCGTCTAGGCGTGAAAAAACTGTCGCGCCGGCGAGGTCTGCTTCTATATCTTCTCTGCGAGGCATTATGTAATGTTCTCTTTTTAGGCACTCATTTATGTTTCGTGGATCAATGCACACTCGGATTTTCCCGTCCTTCTTTCGAACAATAACGACAGGACTCACCCAGTCTGTAGGCTCGGTCACCTTCGTGATAATGCTGGCTCGTTGCATGCGGTCCAATTCCATCTTGAGGGGTTCTTGTAAGGCCACTGGAACACGCCGTGCGGCCTGGACGACGGGTATGGCGCCGTCACGTAACACCATCTTGTATGCTCGTTGCACGCACCCGGTTCCGGTGAACAGATGGCGAAATTCGTCAAAGATGCACTCATGGTTGCTTTAGACACGCTGTAAACACGCGGCACAAGCCTCATGAGTTGGCATGCTTGAAGTCCGAGGATCGCTTGACGCCCCTTCCGTACGATGAAAAAATCCAGTACTGAGGTCGAGTCATTCAGTGTGACTTCGGTACGTATGACCCCGACGTGCTGAATTGCCCCTCCTCCATACGAACGTAACACCGCGCTACTTGGATTCAGCGGCGGTTGAGGGCGCATCTTGAGGTAGCAGCTCAAAGGCAGCAAATTTGCTTGTGCTCCCGTGTCGACTTTTAGGTTTACTGGCAGGTTCTTGATTTGAGCTCGCACCGTCCAGTCGCGTGGAATTTTGCCTAAATTTGACACGTCCAGAATGTCAAAGTTGTCTTCGGAGCCTCGGAGCTCGTGAACTTCCGTGGTTGTTTTGCAGCATATGGCGAAATGGTTGCGCCTGTGGCACTTCCGGCACTTCATCCCGAACGCTGGACAGCTTCGTGGTGCATGCTTGCGCCCACATCTCAGACACTTAGAAAAGGCGGGTCCTGGCGAAAAAGCTTTGTCAATAGGAGCCACGCCTACCGGATCTACTTCTTTCAGTTCGCGTGCCCAAACTTCTTGGTGTCCCGCTGCTGCTTCTGCGGCTTTACCTGCCAGCTCGGCCTTTTGTAGTGTCAAATTGTTGTCCCTTAACAGCTTTTCTCGAAGGTTGCTGTCAGTAGTCCCGTAAACGATCTGGTCTCTGATCATCGACTCCTTAAGACTGCCAAAGTTGCACGATGCTGCCTGCGTTTTCAGATCCCTCACAAAATGTTCGAAGGGTTCTCCCGGCTTCTGGATCCTTGAGCGAAATACATAGCGTTCGTGCACTTCGTTACTCTGTCCGGCAAAATATGCATCGAACTTCTGCACGACTGTTTTGTAATCGCTGCTATCCTCCTCTTGCTGGTATTCGAACGTGTTAAAGATCTCAATGGCTTCCTCACCTGCGATACTTAGGAGGAGGGCAGTCTTTGTTGCTTCCTTTCGGGGTTTGCCACTGGTCTCCGACGCGGTCAAGAACAACTCGAAGCGCTGCTTGAAGCCCTGCCAGTTCTTGCTGATTTCCCCATTAGTACGTAGTGGGGGCGGTGGCTTCACAAAATCCATGTTGTACATGCTAGGCGCTAGCTTCGGTTAACTTCTGACACCATGTATCGTGTGTGGTCGTTGGGCCATCCTGACAGTCCGAGCGTAACGGGAAGAATTCCCCAAGTTTATTGTGCCATGCTTTATATACAGGTGGAACGGGCGAGGGCAAGCCAAAGATATCTTGACTGATCGCCACGTGTTGTACATGCAGTAGCGATATCATCCGATACATTTCGACGGTTTTTCGAGCTGCTTTTCTTCTGATGCTGCCGAGAGTCAGAAGAGACGCATAACGGCAGGTAGGCCTATAGGCACCCGACAGTGGACCATAGGGCGCGACGAAGCTTTTTGGGCCGCCTCAGAATTGTTGGTGCCGACCACCAGGGATACCAAGAAATGAAACTCTCGCTGAACACATTGAGATGCTGAAGTGTCAATGCCCTTTTTGGCGCGTTTTCAAAGAAGGCTTTCTGGGTGCTTACATAATCAGCTGTGGCCCTTACATAATCAGCTCACAACTAAAAAAGAAAATAATATGCACGGGCAAGTCCGGTTTTGCTGCGTCTACTCGCTAGGCTGCGCATTGGAAGACTCAGTTTTGCTGCGCCTATACTCGCTAGGCTTTGTGTTCCGGCGCTACCATCAGATCTCGTAAACTGCATTGTCGGGTGCCTATTCAGCGTTCGCCGGACAGGGCTGGTCCCTCTGTCCCAAAGCCACCTAAAAATATGGCTCCGTCATGGCAGAGGGTGTGGTTGTAATGGAAGGGGAGCATATTCCCCCGGACGAATTGGTGAAGAGTATGGCTGGTGCTCCGCCGCTGTGAAGAAAACGCCAAGCGCGTCTCTCGTTGAGACAGCGCCCATGAAGTGACAGACAGCCAAGGGCACCGTGACCGTCTCAGTGGCAACAGGAAGCATGTTAGCCTAAGAATAAGGTAATCAAGTCATTGCGAATGCTGCTTTTACCGAAGGAACACTGGAAGATTATAGTCCGCCCCCGGGGTGGTCTCCGCTCGGCTTGGTCGGGCTGTTGCCCCTGCGGCAGGACTCCCTTTCGAGCAAGCTTGCCAAGACATCGTTTGTCCCAACGCAACACAAAACATCATCGTTGTGAGCACCCCGTCTCGTGCAAATGCGGATTCCTACTTCAACATGAATTACCTCACCCTGGGAATCAAACAATACCAACTGAGCACATACGAAGCCGCGACGCTTGCAACGTGCGAAGGCGTCATACGTCAAATTGATGGGTCGGTAAGCCAGGCTGATCTTGAAAGAAGCATGCTCAATGACAGAAATTCTTCGGCCCTGGGAGCGAAGCGGCCGTACAACGTTCGACGTAGAAGACGAGAGAGAAACGTGGAACCAAGGAAGCGAGACGTGTCCCCAACACCAACAAGTGCCAGCGCCGAACCAGCTACACCTCCGAGCTGACGCTCCCTCTCGAGAAGGCGCTCGGCACGAAACGCTAAACCAGGTATCCGAGCTGCGTCACTGTCGTCCAGGAGTCGTTCCAGATCCAGTTCCAGAGGCAGCTTCAGATCGAGCAGCCGACACCGGAGCCCACGAAACAGAGCCCTCTCCAGGACCCCTTCCAAGTCCATGTCTAGGTGAAATTCTAAGGGCCACTCCAAGTCGAGAGCTCACTCCCATGGCCCACAGAACAGGGTCTGGTTTGAGAAGCAAGCCAGGTGTGAAAAAATGGCAGCATATCCACGGAGTGCTTTACGGAGAGTGGGGTGAAGCATCCGTCCGTCCATTCGTTCTTGCTTCCGTCCGTTCATGAGTCAGTCTGTTTGACCGTCCGTGCGTCCATCCACCCGTCCGCGCGTGCATCTGTTCGTGCGTCCACACGTTCATCCGTGCGTCTGTCCCTGCGTTCGGCCATGGCCCCCCATGCATCCGCCCCTGCGTCCCCGTCCATTCAGCCATACTCGCGTCCGTCCATGCATCTGTCTATGTGTCCATTCGTCCATCTAGTCAACGCTCCAATACCACCATCTCGCATCTTTTCATTACATATTCCGCATATAGAAGCACCGCTATCCAGCGGACATTCCAAGGACTAAACAAGAAGTGGCACACGCACACTTTCTTATGGCTTGCGCTTCGTGTCTACTTCCCACCTTTAACCACCTCGAGTTCATGGTATATACTAGCTCACTGTAATCAAGACACTGCGGCCCAACACTCGCTAAACCTTTCTAAAACCAAAGAGGTTACGCCCAGCGAGTATAACGAAGCAACCCTTTCTTGTCAGATAGTGCTCAATGTACATGCCAATGGCTGCTAATGGGGAATAAGAGACAGGAGAATTCAGCTTTTAGTGAACGCGCATGCTGCGAATTTTTTATTATTCAACAACGCACAGGAGAAATCTCTTACCGTGACCACCTTGCAGGTCAAAACGTACGACTGGTTACGTACTACGACGAGGGACGAACGGGTGCCGCTTTAAAGATTTTCGCCCCTAAAAGAGCCCCCGCCTGGGCGGACATGGTGCGGAATGGCGGGAATCATGCTGAAAATATCACGAGAGGAGCGGCACCAGAGCATCATTAATCAGAAATAGCTCAGCTTAGAAAAGAAAATATTGAGATGCACAGGGTAATCGAGTCCGTTCGAGCAGAAATAGCAGCGCTCCGTAATGTTAATCAACCTCACCCTGTTCCGGTACCTAGTCTAACTACCTCGCCGACACCCTCTCTACAACTGGCCGACGTACCCAGGGTCTTAGAGGTAAGCCACTCCGGCAACCCCGCGAAAAGAAATGCTTTTCCAGTATTCCCGAAACCGTACAAGCTAAAGCCAAGTCAGAAATCAAAGAAATGCTGAATTCTATCTGCCTTGAAATCTTGAAGATGAACGACCGACTGTCTGCAGTGGATCAGTGATTCTTTGTCATGAATAAAAAAATAGAGGCGCAGAACGTTTAAATTCACTGCGTAGAAAACACAGTACAAGGAACCGAGTCCAAGGGGCTGGAAATGGGCATCAGTACGCCTGCTAGCATGCTTTCTCATGTAGTCCCGCATGGCACGTCGGTGCCACCACCACCATTGCACATCTCTG